GCACACCCACCTGCAGCAGAAGGTACCTGCTGTCATCAACAGATACCTTCCTGGCACTGGCATTGGTCTGTTGAATTTCTCTGCCTCTGGCTTCTCCAGATTCATCTTTCTAGAGCTGGCACTCCAGGGGCATCCCATCATCAAATTCCGAGCCTGGCAAGCAAGCCCCTCCGTACAGCTGCCGTGTCCCCAGGCCCGTGTCCCGCCGCCCCTCCTGCTCACCCTGCACCAGCCGGGTCACTGTTTCCGGATCTGCACTCACGGCACAGCCTGCACACCTTTACCTGTTCTTCCTCCCACTTCCCTCTTTCAGACTCACTGAGGCCTGCGGGAGGGCTGGGAACCAACCCTGGGGCCATCTCTTCCATGAGGTCTCAACTCTTCCCCAGAAACCTCAATCTTCAGGACCTCTGTCCTCACAGGTCAGCTCTGGGTCCTAAGGGCCAGCACAGGGTCAGGTTCAGCGAAAGCCCCTTCCCTTCCCTCACAAATGCCCTCAAACTCCCCCATCTGCCTTCCCTCACCCTCCCCATCTGCCTTGGGAACCTCAGAAATAGACCTAAGCCCAAACCCCCAGGAGCAGTAAAGCTCCCTATATCCACAGTGAGACTGAAATCTGAGAAGTGGAGGCCCCACGCCACGCCCCTCTGAGAGCCACGCCCCTCTGAGAGCTCAGTGAGTCAGCAGCTCTGTCTGAGCCCCCAGGCTCTGCAGGCAGAAGGAGCCCCTTGGCGCCAGGAGTCCTAGCCTTCCTCCGCTGCCCTGTGTGTTTGGGGCCTTGAATATTCACACCTGTCCAGTGGAAGGTTGCCCTCTACCATGCTGAAGCCCCCCCCCTACTCCCCCCTGCCTTTTCTGCTTCCCAGGCGAGGTGTCCTGGGCCTGGGGGATGGCACCGCAGTGGCTGGACTGGGGTCTGGGACATGGATAAGCAATGTAGAGGCCTCACCTCCAGCCTGAACCCAAGCTCAGATCTAGAGTCCAGATCCTGGGGCCTGATACGGCCGTCTCTTCTGAACTTGACTGTGAGTTCCCCTAGAAATGTATCTGCAGCTTCCCCAAGGACCCCAGGTTTCCGAGGAAGGGGTCAGAAGGGAGTGGTTGAGGTGTTGGTGTGCGGGATTCACATGGGTATGTACCGGGTGGAGGAAGAAAGTTAGAGGGGAGGTGAGAGCCAGTCCAGGAGCGTGGGCGCAGTCGTGTAAGCAGGAGGGGCTGTCCTTGGGCTTCCCTGTGCCCCGTGGCCCCCACCGTTAGACCACTGTGACCCCACGGCTGCGTAGAAGAGGCCCCCTTCACAGACAAGGAAACTGAGGCTCAGAAAGATAAAGTCACTCACCCAATGGTTAGCTCTAGTCCCTTGACACCCCAATTCTGCTGAGGGCTCTTCCTGTGACCTCACCTGTGCCCCTGTTTGATGGGGTCGGGAGCTTTCTCCAGCCAGGGCTGCTGGGATGGCCCGGGCAACTCCCTGAAGTAGGGAGTCATCGAGGCAGGCAGGCTGCTACAAGCCAGGGCTGAGCAGCGGGGGTCAGGGGTTTGGAAAAGCGGGGTGTGCACAGGGCACTGGTGAGAAGTGTCCTGAGGCCTTGACGGGCCCATGTTTCCTCAGGCTTAGTCTCTCCTGCGGTAAAGCCTGAGCCGGCATCCGAGTGGCAGGGGCTGGTGAGGCACCAACCTGGGCACGAAGGAGCTTGTGTTGACAAGGAGAGTATGGAGCCAGCACAGTGGAAACTGAC